ACGTTTCACGAGCGGTCGACACTTATATCAGCATCCGTAGTCGTGCTGCTATAAAAAACGGTCAGATGTTGACGTTTTTCACACTCTCTTTAAAGGCCTGTTCACATCACAGGGCATGAAAATAGGGCACAAAATAAGTTTGTGTGTGTTTTTTTTTATCTTCTGTATGAAATATTTGGTAAATGCTAGGTCTTATTGCTTTAAAGTGAGTGTATTTTGTGTATTTCTTTTTTTCAGATGGGTTTTTACATTTATTTATTTGGTAATGCTTTTATGCAAAGTGACTTACATTGGATGCAAGGTATACATTTTGCTGTTTTGCTGGATGAATTGTATTGGTGTTATTTTAGTATTATTTATATACCATTATAGTATTTCTTAATATTTTAAATTTGCTTTTAGTTTTAATTGTAAATTTAGTTTGTTTTATTGATTTTATCTGCTTTTGTTATTATTATTATTATTATTATTTATAATATTATTTCTAAATTCCGTTTTAGAATTAGTAATTGTAGTATTTAAATGAAAATGAGAAATGTTGCCTTAGAAACTAACTGAAAATAAGTTTAAGTTAAAGTTTTCATCGATTATTTATAGTTTTTTTTTAAACTTTATTTAGATTAAAAAACCCACTTTTTATGTTTTTGTTTTAGTTCAAAATAACAACACTGGATTGTATGTTGCATGAATGCATGTAAAATTAATTTCTGGAATTTAGGCTCTTGTGTAAACAAATCTTGGTTCATTTTAGACCATCATCTTTTAATTTTGTTTTTATGCAATTGTGACCCTGGACCACAAAACCAGTCATAAGGGTCAATTTTTAAAAATTGAGATTTATGCATCATCTGAAAGTGTAATAAATAAGCTTTCCATTGATGTATGGTTTGTTAAGATAGGACAATATTTGGCCAAGATACAAGTATCTGAAAATCTGGAATCTGACGGTGCAAAAAAATCTAAATATTGAGAAAATCGCATTTAAATTTGTCCAAATGAAGTTCTTAGCAATGCATATTACTAATCAAAAATTACGTTTTGATATATTTACGGTAGGAAATTTACTAAATATCTTCATGGAACATGATCTTTACTTAATATCCTAAGGATTTTTGGCATAAAAGAAAAATCGATAATTTTGACCTATACAATGTTTTTTTGGCTATTGCTACAAATATACCCCTGCGACTTAAGACTGGTTTTGTGGTCCAGGGTCACAAATAGGCCTTTAATACCAATTTATGTAGGGTTTGTATATAATTAGTTTGGTAACACTATACTTTATAGTGTCCTTGTTACACGTTACATGCATTTACTATAGTAATAACAGTAATTTATGCATAATTACAAGCAAATAAATCGAATCACCTTTATTTATATAGCACTTTATGATGCAAACTTCATTAAATCCAAATTCTGCTGTATAGCAGCTCGAACAAAACTATACAACTAAACTAACACTAAACCAAAACCTCATCCTAACCTTACATGTTTTAAATTAATGTTACTCAGTACTTAATTGTAGAATTACACTGTAACAAGGACAGCTTAAAAATGTAACCATTAGTTTCTTTACCAATCTTGGTGTCCCCTTCTGTTTAAAGATCTGTGGTAATGTAAGTTTGCTTGGGGTCTGGGGTCATGAGGACCTCCATCCAGGTCATTGGCTCCTAATGGACCCCGGCAGACGGATCTGTCCCAGCTGGATGCACACACCTCATCACATCACATCCCATCCCCGCTGACAGATTTATGTCCAGTAGGAATGACTACTCGCTTCTAGAAATCTATTCACTCAATAATTGACGAACTGAGTGGCTTGTAGTTCATTCAGTTTGCTACTGCAAGGTGGTGCAAAGAAAGAACTTTTTCAAGTTGCAGGCTTTTCAAAGCATAATGAATTAAAGCAAAAAGGCATCTTTTTATGCTTGCAGCCTTTTTATTAGCTGATTTGAGGATTCTGGTATTGAGCAGAATGCATGTGATCAATTATTTATGGTTGAGACATATAATAAAAGAAGACAGCTCACGTGGCTCTGGGCGCCTCTGCTCAGGCAGGCAAAGAAAAACTTCCACAGATCAACAGTAGATCATTCACTGTCTGAGTGCTAGGATGCACTCAGCACTTTTGTTTGATTCACACAGAGATGCTTGTTCACAAAGAGTGAGCTTTCTGTTCGTCCACTGCAAAGACCAAAGACGACTTGAAGTGCATGTGACACGCCAGTGTGCTTCAGCCTTAAACAGCCCTAAATGTTTTACTGTCTTAATGCTGTCATTAAATAAGACCCATACTTACTCGTACTTCACGTTTCAAGGTGAAGTGTGTAATTTCTGCGCCACTAAAGGCGACCTGACCCCCAAATAGACTGAAATTTATGTAATGTAATGTAATGTAATATAATATATATCCACGACCCTATGTTGGACAAAAATATTATATATTTTTTTATTATACCTACAACCCTGCATAGGACAAATAGATTATTATATTAAATTACATTACATTACATTATATTAAATGACTCCTTTTTTTTTTTTATGTGGATGAAAAAAAATTTAGATGCAGTATTCAAACAATCTCTGGATTATGACTTTCAAAATCAGGATTTGTGGCTCGCTCGGAGATGCTTGTTGAAACCGAAGCCACCTCAAGTGTGTGTGTGTGTGTGTGTGTGTGTGTGTGTCTGATGTGCGTATGTTTTTCTGTGAGATTTGCTAAACCTTCTAAACTCACACAGGGGTCAGAGGTTAGTATGTATAGGGTCGCAGGGATGTAGAAAAGGAGGAGCGTATAGTGGGAGAGAGGGAGGTGTGTTTAGTCTGTACAGAGGAAGTCCAACTGCTCCCTATGAACTGCGTTACTATCACAGACAGATTGTAAGGGTATTTGGAAAGTCACTCACCCCTTCAGAGGCCTGTTGTTTCCCATGCTGCCTTCCCATGCTCCCCGTTCTTACTTCATATTTGCACGTCTATAAATAAAGCGCCTCCCGACCAGAAGCGTTTGATAAACTGGTCCAGACATGCACATGGACCGCTATTAGCCGAAGGTTGTTAGCCTTTCCCCCAAAATGTGCTAACAGAACATGTATAGAAGTGTTGTGCCAGAAGCATACTTTACTCAAGTATACAAATTACGACTATGTGAATACTTGGACAATGAATGTGTTACATTTCAGTAATTCAATACATTTAATGTAATAACACACAAAATTGAGCTTGCTTAGCTTAGCTAGGTGTGTGTGTGTGTGTTCACATACTTGTGCATGTTTGGGGCCTTGGTGTATGTGGGACAGGACAGAAATGCAGCGGAACTGTGTGTCTAGGTGGATTTGGGGTTTTACATCTTTCATCTACTGCTTGTTTTTCTTCCGGCTCATGCCACCCAGTAGCAGCACCTCATATAAACACTGCTGTCTTTGTCCAGAATGCTGTGAACTGTTGTTCTGCATTGTAATTGGCCACTAACTGAATAATTTTGCATATTGATTACTCGCTGTCCCCTTTTTGGACTTCTGTTTGTGCCCTTTTTATGAGAAACAATTTGTTAGTCTTATTAGACTTCCATATTTCTATTTAGAAAATGTTATTTAGATGATTTTCAAATTAGTGGTAGTGGACAAAAACAGCCTCTGCTCCTTTTGGGAAATGATTTTTCTTGGTTGTGGTGGGGGAAAACATAGCTGACTTTATAAAACAACAACTTTAAGCAGAAGCTAACCAGTTGCATCGGCAGTGGTCTGAACTAAGGCACAAGTGGTAAGTGGTAACCTACTATGGCTTGCACCCTTTACCTGTACTTATGAGTTTGGACTAGTAGATACATGTTTATTTAGGTAGTTGGTTATGAGCGATATATACAAAAATAAAAAAATAACAGAGGATAGTTAATACTCTACTGGGGGCTTTTTTTTAAATAATAATAATTGCATCAGAAATGAATGATGCATTAAATTGTTCAAAAGTGACTGTAAGTGTTGTAATGTAATGACTATAATGACTCTTTTTTTTATTTTTTTATCCTATTTCAAATGGATGCTGTTTTCTATTTCTATTCATCAAAAAATCCTGAAAAAATCGATCACATTTCCACAAAAAATATTAAGTTTTAATATTAACTGTTATATTTAACTATTAACTGTAATAATAATAATAATAATAATAATAAATGTGTCTTGAGCATCAAATCAGTATATTAGAATGATTTCTGAAGGATCATGTGACACTGAAGACTGGATTAATGATGCTGAAAATTCAGCTTTACATCACAGGAATAAATTATATATTAAAATATATTTAGAAAACAGTTATTATAAATTGTAATATTATTTTACAATATTACAGTTTTTTTATTGTATGTTTGATCAAGTAAATGCAGCCTTGCATGAGAGATTTTGCACAAGACATCAAAATATTTTACTGACTGTGTTTTTTTTGTTTTTCTACATTGTTTACATTAGACATTTTATAATTTACATGAGTTAGATTTAAATATTTTTTTGTTCTCTCTTTTAATTGTATTTCTAGCTTCTGTATTAGTCTACAAACCTGGCAACAGCAGATATATTACTGGCTTTTGAATGATGAAATGCTTCATATATCACTTTGAATAAAAGTGTTAAATGGCTAAATGTAATAGTAAGGCATCAAAACTTGATTAATGTCCAGCAGAAATGGTACTAATATTGACATTTGTCACCAATATATTGTGCTTTCCTGGGCATCATTTTGGAGGCTGTGCAAAGGCTTGCTTTGTTTTCAGGTGGGCTCGTCGTCCCCTGCTCAGAGCATCTGTGAAATTATGTCATGGAAACGGGTGTGTGCAGTGGAGAGCCGCAGGACTTCATCTCTCATTGGCTAAGCCTTATCCGCGCTCTCGCTAGCCTTCAGGGAGGGTGCTTGGCTGCATGTGTTCAGTCAGTCTCTAACAGAAGACACAATAGAAGATGTTCATTATCTTTTATTTAACCTGTGATTTCTGATATTCAGTGGTTCTGAGACATGGTATGTAATTTGCACTGTATAATTAATCTTTAATGCCAAAGAGAGTGATAATACTATTCTAGTCACTGAAGTTGTGCATAATTGATCAAATAAATTTGGATAATTTAGGTTTTTAATTTAGTCATTGACCATGCAGATATATTTTAATCAGTGAACAGTACAGTTTGAGAGAAACAACTTGGTTAATGCTCAAAGGAGGAAAATGCATTCATGCTGACAGGAAACGCTAACATCTGTTTGTGTGCAAAGGGGTGTTGCTATAGAGGCAGGTAAGGACATTATGAGGAAGTGCAGACGAAGCTGGTAGAGGAAGATTCAGCCAGAAAGAGGTCATGAGTTGGTTGGGCACCTCGGTGAAATTCACTCTAGCTGTTGTTCTTTTTCAAAGCAAAGACTTCATGAATATTACAGCAGATCGGTGACAGGAAAAACTTGTTGCCTGCCAAGCATTTTACCCATCTCTCACACTTAGTGTTAATTTACAAACCTGGGAATAATGCCACAAGACACTCTGGTGAGGGTAAGCATTTAATTTTTTCAAAGTGAGGTTTGTTTAAGAGCGTCAAACCTTGTAGTGGTGTTTTGAGTCTGAGGTTTGCACTTGTTTGACTTTGTGTAAATGTGTTCATGCTTAATTTGATGTTAATTGTGGTTGTTCCTGATTATCTAATTAGTTCAGAGAGTAGAGGTTAAGTTTAGAGTCGTGTGAAATAATACCCCGAGCCATCAATAGGGTCATGGCTTACCATGTTCCTCTGTAATCATCCATGACTGTATAAATGGCAGAGACGGAGGAAGTAGCTGTCATTAGCTAGACAGTCTTATCTCCACTCCAGAGGAATGGTGTTTGATGAGATTATATTGCAGACTAAGGCCCAATCCCAATTCTATTTTATACCCCTTCCCCTTGTCCCTTGAAACAGAGTGTCAAGGGGTAGGGATGAAAATATTCCCATAAGAATTGGGACACCACTACTATACGTCACACGTCATCTTTTTGTTCGCTCGGGCAGCCATGTTGCCCCTGAAGCCGGTTTACGCTGAGATAATTCATACCCCTTCGTTTGAAGTGTGGTCCTGAAAAATCTTCGTTTGAAGGGCTATCTGGCCCTTCCCCTTCCCCCTACCCCTCCAACCAAAAGAGAATCGAGACCGCCCTACCCCTTCACGTGAACGTGCAAAACGGAGGGGTAGGGGAAAGGGGAAGAGCTAAGGGGTAGAATTGGGATTGGGCCTAAGTATCATTGGCAGCTGGTCACAATCTGTGACGATGTACTTGTGTATTCTTCGGATTGTACATAGGACCATTAACATGTTTTCAGTTAATTCCCATATATTTATTGAGAATTGTCTATTTCACAAAAGTCATTAAAAAATTTAAATGTTAATGATCCTAATAACATTGTATAAATATATCATTTCTTTTTTCATTTTGGGGTAAAATATAGTTTGTGGCAGGTTTCATAAAATTCATCCTGTAAGGATATCATGACACCATAAGTATTTCACTAAGTAGTTAAACTCTCCACTAAGTTCTTTCATCAGTATCTGCTTATCTTATTAATGATTGAAACTCCAGCTGCCTGACCACAAGAATCCTGACCCTTACCTCATCTGAATGCCAAAAACACTACTGCAGTTTAGCTCAGGGAAAAGAATGACACTGCAGCTTCTGCTGGTATTCTGGCCAGACGCATTGATAAGACATCCTGGAACTGCCTGTGTTCTGCCTGGACTGCCAATTTCTTCTGTCTGTATTGATCTTGCACCCAGAAATTCAAACAACACAGCACTATAATTAACTTAACTTCTTGGCTTTGCACTGAGGTTTTGCTTAGAGTCAAGATGTCATCTCCAGTTAACTATGAAATTTGATTTTGATCTTGTTTGTTTCCAATTATAGATTATCTCCTATTTGGCAACTGAAGTGACGGCCATCAAGACTGGACAGAGTCGGGCTGAGCAGAATCTGGTTGAACCTTTTAGGACTCGTTAAAAGAAAACCGCCTTGTAGTGAAACCACACGACCAGTCAAACTGAATTGTAGAACTGAGTTTGTGAGTTGTGCAAACGAAGATGCCCATCTTAAAGCAGCTGGTGTCGGGGTCTCAGACCAAACGGCGCTCTCGTATGGACCTCACTACTGAGATGATCAGCGCACCCTTGGGTGACTTCCGGCACACCATGCATGTAGGGCGCAGCGGGGAAGCTTTCGGAGACACCTCTTTCCTCAGCACTCGATCTGGAGAGCCATCCCAAGAAGGACACACCTATCCTCGCTCTCCGAAACCGGGACTGCTGTCTCGTACCTTCCGGGGCAGCAAGCGGTCTCAGTCCGTCACCAGAGTAGACCAGCAAGACAATACCCTCCTTCCTTCCAGTGGGTCACCTACCTTTGTGAAGAATGCCATGTCCTTGCCCTTTCTGAACAACGAAGAAGGACAGGAGGGAGACAAGAGGGTGCTCAAGAGCTTGACCTCCAGCCCCTCCAATGGGGCCTCCGCTGACGCATTGGACCTGGAGCTCCATGAGAAGCACTTTGGGGTGTTGACAGACCTGCGGCCTTCCCCAACTTACAACGGGGGAGGATTGAAGAAAGCTGAATCTGTGATGTCATTCCATGTTGACCTTGGGCCCTCAATGCTGGGGGACATCCTGGGGGTCATGGAGAAGGAAGACGACGACCAGGGGTTTGAAGAAGGCAAGAGCAGTGAGGGACGTGCATCTCCTCTACCCTGCAACCAGGGAGGAGTGGAAATGGATGAGGAAACGAGGGAGGTTGTTGTCAAAGAAGAGGAACCAGAGGGATTCGTTGCACTCTGCGAGGGTCCCATGAGGGCTCCCAGCTCTGTTGACTTGGAGATCCAGAGTGAAGGCACCAGCACCCCAGAACCACACCACAAACACCTGCATCACCTCGACAGCTGCTCAGTTTCCAGCTCAAGTTCAGCCGCATTGGAGGAGAAACCAACCAGTGAGCCTTATGAGGAAGATATTGGAGTTACCGACAACAACTGCAACCCAGACAATGAACCAGCATTCTCCTCCTTCATGGAAGATGAGGATGATGAGATCCGAGTATGAAACCCTACAATCAGTAAACATTTCTAAGGATGGCGAGATAAATATCTCAGACTAGAATTTGACAATATGTAAAGAGGAGAAATGCGAAGACGGTGTGTTGTAAGCACGTCAAAGCTGGACAGATGCCTCAGGTTCCTGTATCCCTGTAGAGATAAGTTGGGGAGACTGCTTTAGCTGAGACACCAAAGCCATCTGTCACACTACTGACCCATGCTAAGATGAGCAGCTGGATGTGTTGAGTCCGAAAGGGACCTGCTACAAGTTCCACTGATAGCTCTGCTAAAGAAAAGACATACATAAGGGATACATAAGTCACCGAAATGGTAAACTTCACTTGCGCAAGCAGATGCTGTTTTAAGCCATTCTCCCATAGTCCCATGCAAGGTTCCCACAGTTGTAAGCCGGAAATATCAGGGATTTTTTCAAAATGTAAAAGTCATGGATTTTTTCATGTTATTCTCAGCTCTAAAACACTTCATTCGTGAAAAATTGTGTTTTGTGTTCTCTATAAAATTGTTAAAAAATCCTTATCTGGTAATCACAAGCAACTAGAATGGTCATGTAAGTTCATTGGTCAAAAGATGTGGGAACCCTGCCCATGACTTGGTGCCTAAAGATAATAGTTCTTTTGATTTAGAGCACTAGCGTATTAAAGTAAATCATATGATTTGTTCAGTGGCCCTCTGCATACAGGTACTGTATATTTTCAAAGTTTAAATCAGCACTCTGCCATTGTCATAAAAAGTTACGTCGTGTTGGGAGAGAGCTCTTACGAGATTAACTGTTTTATCATACACATTCTTGGGGTTGCATTGTCAAAGCCCTGCAAATAATTTATCTCTAGAGTACATATAATTCAGTCATGTATCCGGTAAATTGCCATTTTAAAAGCTACTGTGGTTCAGAAGCTCAGGAAACGTCCTTGTGCAACTGATTACACACCACGCAGGTCTGAGCTCGAATGGCGATGATTTGAAGGTGGTGGATGTTTGAGAACCTCTCCAGAGACTGATCATAGTCCACTTTTGGGAAGACTGGCAACAGGTGTCCCTCCATCAGATCTCATTTTTCAGTCTGTACGTGTTTTGCATAGTAGTTGTTTGCTCAGTATCTTGCATATCTCACCACTTCCTTCCTGCTCTACATGGCGTGTGAGGGGAACTACTGCTGTTTATTGCTGGAGTTTTTGATCAGTTTGGTTGTCGCTGTCATTGAAACATTTAAACCACTGGTTAAACAATATGTGTCAAGTATAACTAAAAAGTCAGTTGTGTTAAATCATGTCTTCTAGTAAACATGTCAGTTGTATTAATTGTGCTAACTCTGACATTAGCAAATTATGGCACTGTTGAGCAAAGACACTAAAATTCATTGATTCCGTTTGACTTTTTCATTGTGTACATATGTCTACATACAGTGTATAGCAGATGATCATGACTAAAATGAGGCCTTTATTACTGCAGACCTTCATGTGTGAATTAACTGCATAGTCTGCAAGCTTGCTGTCTCTGAATTAAGGATCAGGCACTGTGAAGACAAGTCTTCGACATCAAGCCTACAGTAAGATGAGATTTACTGGGAAATCTCAGCTGTTTCGTACTTGGGGTCACGCCAGCCTTAAGCAGAAAAGTGCCAAATCTAATCTAGCATGTACTGCCTAGTAAGCCTGACTTTTGAATCATTTAACATGGTGAATGAATAAGGCTTTGCCTTAATCTACTATATATAGTAGTATTCTTAGTAGCATTTTTGTCTACAGTAATATATGGTCCAAACGATCCATCTTTGATTACTGTAGACAGCATTCTGTTTCATTTGCATATCCTTGTGCTAGCGGTCAATTTTAAATTTGGCAAGATAAAAACATAAGTAAAAAGAGAGAAGTCTGTTTATTTGTGAAATTGTGTGGCTGTGTGTGAGGTGGATTTAACTAAGTTTATCTTCGTGTTTTCCCTCTTTGTAATAATAGTGATGTTTGTCTCGCTTATCTTTGCAACAATTTGTATGTTCATCATGTATATATTCATGCTTGCCAGCCTTTTCAAGGCTAGAACCGCTATATTTTTAAATAAAAGAAAAAGTTGTCCACAAAAGTGTCTTTTTCTTCATTTCAGAAATGTTTTCCTCGTAAGATTAGGCCATTTCATGGTGTGCCACTGCTAAGTAAGTGGCTTAAGTTTGAAGTTATCAAGGAGAAAATACAAACGTGACCATTTGGGTCCACTGCTGAAAAAAAAAAAAAAAAACGCTAAAAACAGCCTAAGCTGCTTGGCTGGTCTTAGCTGGTTTAAGCTGGAAGTAGCTGGTCTCCCAGCCTTGCTAAGCTGGTTTTAGGTGGTTGGCCAGCTGGTCTCCCAGCCTGACCAGCTAAAGAAGTGGCCAAAACCCCTCTAAAACCGGCCTGCTGACCAGCTAAGACGAGGCTGGACGACCAGCTAAAACCACCCAACCAGCATAGGCTGGTATTAGCATTTTTATTTTTCAGCAGGGTCAGTGGGATGGTCAATAAACAACCTTTTTCATTTTGGTTTATTTTGCTGTGTGTTGTTGGAGCAAGCTTGAGTTGCTAGTATGGGAACTAGCTTGGGAAGTCCTTCACTGCATAGATGAGCACAGATCCATTGACTAAATTAAATTCAATAAAACTAGGCTACCGGAGGCTGAGGGAAGTGTTAAGTGTCAACACATGCTGCTAAAAGGAAATTTTAATCGGATCACTGCAACTGCAGATCTACATGAAAGTTTCATGTGAGTAAAGAGAATTCACACTCACTCATTTAACTGATATCAGCTCTCACATTTAGCTCTTTCGCATATTGTAGCTGCGCGTAGTCTACATATGAAAATCAAAAGCCCCTTATTCCCAGCTCAAATTTACGAGTGATTGATTTGAGTGTTAAAAGCAAAGTGGTTTGATTGATCTGCCTGCTGCCCTACAAAGTTTGTGAGGTGTTAATGTTCCTTCGGTTCAAATAAAAGAGAATTTAATAAATCTTGACTTGACAAAAAATCCATTATTTCATATACACGCTGCTTCTTGAATACATCCTGCCACCTAGTGGCCATCTGTATGCACAGCGTCGCTTGCCTTTAATTTCTCAATGTCATATGCCACTCTTACCATGGTACAGGATCAAACCCTTTCTTTAGCAGAGTATTTTAGTGTTTTGATTTTTTTTTCTTTGTTTTTGGCACTAAATCATTGTGCTTTGTAAATGCAATAATATATTAAAATAATCTAAATTAAAATATACACATAAAATCACAATGTAAACTTAAATCATATTTCTTTTTATTTTCCCTCAATAACTGTAGTGTGTATTTAAGAACATACAGTTATGGAATCACAAAATGAGTCGTGGTTAATTGATTTAATATATCAAATTAATTAACAAAGTTTATTAATCTAATATATTAATAAAAAAATACAAACAAATAGCTTTGTTATAATTACAGCAGAAATATCCTGCTGTATATGGACAGTGGCCCTTTGAATATTGGTGGCCGCCTTGTGAAAAAGGTTGAGAACCACTGATTTTAGAATGTTGTGGTATATTTTTCTTATTTTCAAAAGTTTGTACACACTTGAATGAGTCTCAAGTTATTTTAAACATTTTAATCTCAGGCTTTTATAAAACTATTTTATTTAGCTTGCATTTGTTTAACGTTTTTGGTTCATTCATTCATAGGTTTTATGATTGAACTATTACTTAAATATGTGAAAATTAGAAATAATAGATTAAATAATTAATATATAAACATTCATTCTTTATTATTATTATTATTATTATTATTATTAATAAAGTCCCTTTTTCAGGATGCTATATTTTAAAGATAATTTTTTTTTAATCCAAATAAGCTTTACAGGTCTTAATTAGAAAGTGTTTAAACAATGTTTTTCATGGTTGTTGCACAAACCATAAACGATTATTGCACATGCTCTTGTGAAACAGTCCTTAAGACACAGATTACAAGACATATTGCAAGCGGAAGAATATATATATATATATATATATATATATATATACAGTTTACCACTGATGGTATGCAGATGGTCCATAAAGTGGAGATCAGCTGAACTTTTTGGGCTTCTTATGTACATTTGCATGTTCTTGGTGAATATCCACAGTTTTATCCAACATTAATGAGCAGGGAAGCCAGGCCACGATATCCCGTGCTGCAGAAACAGTTTTGTTCTTGTCCTTCATTTGTTTGCAGATCTAACCGCTATGAGCAAAGGGCTTTGCATTTTACAGCCCTTTGGAAAGTGTATAAAAAAAAAAATTATAAAACCCAAATGGAAAGAATACTTGACTGCACTAGCTGTGCTTGAAACTCATTTAACAGTAGAACTGCTTTTTCCATCAAGCATTTTCCAAAAGTATTTTTTAGCTGAGAGTGCAAGCCGCTCTTGAGTACATGGCGATGGACGACTCCAACTTGTGGTCTGAGAAGGATTGGAAAATGTAAACATACGGCAGTTTGGCAGTGACCTCTGACCCTGGGCCCATGGGACCACACACATGGATGAGGAACAGTTTGCTTGAGATGAATGTTTGACGTCCCATTTAAGGGTTTTAAAATCAGCATGGATCAGAGCGAAAAGCACAAGGCGTTCGGATCTCCCCATTTTATGTCTACAGCTTGTACGTATGATTGTGGTTGAGATTTTTTTTTTTTATATGTTCGCATTGTAATTCTTTCCTCCAGAGTGTCTGTCTGTTGCAATAAGCAGTTTCCTGTATAAATCACTGCCCACTGGAGTCGGCTCAAATACTCACTCCTAAATCGAGAAGCATTTGCCACTTTAGTGGGACTGTAAACTTCAACTGTAAAATGAAAAGCTGTTTAATGTACTTTAATAGCAGCCTTGCAGACAAAACATAATTTAGTGACATATACTAGCATATTCCATCTACTCTACGCTCACTTATGGGCCATTCACACAGAGTACATTTTTGCGTTTAAAAACATGAGATGCTGATATAATTGATGCGCTTTTACAGATTACAGCATTCACACTGGGAGCATGCAGAGTCACGTCCCGTTCACCAAAAAGGAGCAACAGCGTTGCACATTCACGTTGCACTCTGAAGTGGACGGGTGAGTTTTTAGCTTTATTGTCAGTGCAAAACAAAACAAAAATTATGTAGCTACACAATAATAGATGTTTATTAGAAACAAGACCATCCACTCATTGTCCCGTTTCAGAAAACAAGACGTAGTTGTATATTGAAGGGATTAAAACATTTGAAAAATATTAAGTAAATTAAATATGAGTAAATAAGCTGAGGACAAAAGACTTTCCGCACAGTCTTTGTTGCCCATGGATTCTTAAGTGGTTTAACTGTTTGAATTTTCAGTATGTCAATAACTAGTTTGCATTGGAATATCAAAATCTAGAAAGAACAGTACACTGATTTTAGTGGGCAATTGGTTGTGATTGGTCAAATTGCAGTTGTCCAGATTTAGTTAGGTTTTTATGTAGCTTAGCTATATTTTGTTCAAATGTATAGACAGTCATTGTATTAGCCGTAACATTTGTTGCATTTTGTTGCATACATGTTCAGATGTCAGATCCCATAAAGAGCAGCAGGTTTTGGGGCAGTATGTTGATGCACACTCGAGTTTGGAAAATAACTTTCACGTTAACCTGTACGAAATTAAAATATGACGTCATACTCCTCAATCAAATGTTTTCCAAGCTTTCCACATGTGTTTGACGTTTTCTGGATATTGATATTTGTCTCCTCCCACAGATATTGCTGATAGGCCCCATTAAATGCTTCCCCTTTGCCTTTATTCACTATGTGCTAAATGCATTTAGCAATGCATTGAGCCATGTGAGAGACCCTGAGGAAGGCCCTTAGGCCGAAATGTGTCGGTATTGTTAAAATAATAAAATTCTCCTTATCACAAGCAGTGCTGGAATCTTTCCTCACATTCTAGAATGTCAACACCCAATGTATTGCGTGGGTGGCTTCTCAGTCTCTCTTACTCCATCGTTTTCACCCTTTCCCTCACTCATTCATTTATTACTATTTTCTGTGGTGTACTTTATGATTTGTGGAATCTCCCTCATGAACTTGAACAAGTTTCCACCAATAAAAAGACAACACCCAATACACGCATGCTTTCCTGTTTACAAAAGCCACATAATGCAGGCCTTGTTCGGCTCTGGGGTTGTGGTATGATGTCCAGTATTGAGAAAGCATGCAAGGTGATGATGGGGTCAGATCTGGCCAGGAAGTGGGAGATCACAGGGGGTCACTTGCTTTTGGCATGTATTAAACTCTAACCCCTGCAGACTTCCACCTCCTTTTCAACCCCACTCCAGCACCATCTGTTTTATTTCCCATAGGGTGTGAATGGAGCTCTTGTTGAAGAGCATGCATAAATTGCCACAAATATGATTGAACATTCTGCGCAACAGATCTGGGACTTTTCGCGGTTTCCATCACTCGACTGGTGGGGAATTTAAAATGATATTTTCTGCAGGTTACACTGTTACACCAGTAGGTGGCAACAAGCGACTCACGGAATCATTCAATCAACAGATTTTTTCAAACACACTGATTCATTCAGGAACTAACTTCCTGCATCTGAATATGCCTACTTACTATGTAGTACATGAATATAGTAGGATGTCCGAATGCTATGCATAAAACAGTACAAGCAAAAAGTACCTGGATTATCTACTACATCCACCAAGATTATGAAGTGTGCATCTGATGGACACTTTTCTATCCCATAAGGCCACAGTAGGGGAGTTGCGAATGGCAGTGAAGCGTCATTCATGAACAAAACATCAACACTGTGTTGCTTGATGTTTCGTGCTGCTTTGGCTTTGTTTGGAACTTTTCTCATTGGTGTAACACAAATACATTAATGTGTCTAGAATGCAAGTTGCTGAATATTAACTCCTTGTGTACTGTTGTATAAAAGCAATATCACACTCACAACTGTGCATAAGGCTGCAGATATTTGGAACAACAGCTATCTTTCCAGTGATATTGCTGAAGTATATACTGTATATTGATTGATTGATTGATTTGTTTATTTATTCATTGCCGTTTCAGTCAAT